GAGAGCTTGACACACGCCGTACGACGTTTGTTTGTGTCAACTTGACAACGCTGCGGGCGGCAGCCTGGAGCACTACGCCACGCGCTTAGAGACGCTTTTGAATTCATTTCCATACGCAAAGAGAGGCTGGGCGGCGAGAGTCGACCCGTGCTCTGGGTGTCGACGACGTCGAACAAGACTATCAAGAGTCTTTAGCTCCGATACGGAGCAGTGGACGTACAGGCCACCCGCTGCGCCATCGTGGCCTGGCAGAGCAGGATCAAGCACACAAAGATCTCCATCATGTCGACGACGGGCACGGCGGGCGACGCGCGGACCTTGGCGGGCGCGAAGACGCGGAAGCAGAGCGAAACGAACGGATCGGGGAGCGCACGCCCGAGGACAAAGCCGAGCTGCTCCATGGTCACGCAGTAGCGCAGGGTCATGTGGCGGTATTTCTTCAGAACCACATGGACATCGAGGACGTCCCAGTCCCGGAGTACGCGGCGCAAGTCGCCTTGGGCGCGCAGCGACGACTGGGCTACACCCATGGGTGCCGGTTGGATAAAAAGGCGTCTGATTGGTCGGTGCGCGATCTTGAACGGTCACTTTGCACTTGTGGCGGCCTTTCCACCATTCGATCGTACACGCTTGGAATCTCGCGGCTGAATGCGTCGAGTGGTATGTATCGACGATGCGCTCGACGTGAAGCGGCTCGGTCGTTCGCACGCCCAGGGGATGCTTTTTAACAGAATAAAAAACGTTTGTTAAAAGGACCCCGTGGTGGATTTATTTGCGTGTCTAGCTCGTTTGGGGCAACGCAAAGTTGCTATGGTTGCAGCTGGTCGTACGAACGGGCATTACGACGTGGGGCTGGTCTGATTCAAGGTGTCTCTGCACCTGAGCGTCCCTTCGGTTCCGGTGAGAGGATCGTCCTAGTATGACAAATAAATCCACTGAAAAATTGTCGAGAAAGTCTGCACGTGACCAGGCACGTCACGTACCCAACGGGTCACGGTACCACCTTCACCCGAGGTTGACTCCTGGACTTCCAGCTGCTTGGCGCCATCGATGGGGGGTGGGATAGGGTAGGACATGTCCTTGTTGAAGGTGCTTGGCAGCCGACGTGGACATGATTGTCTGCAAGAGCTTTCGAGCACTTGGTGGACGATGCTGCAGATTTCGTTTTCACGCCTCTTATATGCTTGCTTGCTGTCTGCTTTTGCTTGTGGCGGTAGCGCACGTTGTCGCTAGCAGCGACTCATGCTCTCGCATCGTAGGGGCTGGGGGTCGTCGCCCAAAGCTTGCATCCGCGCGCGATTCTCTCGGCGAGCGGCGCCAGTGAGCTCGAATTCACCGTATTGCAGATTGCCGACATGCACTACACGGGCGATCCGAGCTTCCGATGCAGCGACCCGCCGCCGTGCACTGAGGCCAACACCACGGCCTTCATTGAGGCGCTTCTGACCAAGGTGAAGCCCGACCTCGTTGTCTTTACGGGCGACCAAGTCGAGAACCACCTCCTCCAACACGTATCGTCTATCCATATGAGACCACGTTCTTTGCTCATGAAGCGCCACGTAGAACCTCTCGGAGGTCAAGGCCGCCATTGACGCGTCCATTCGCCGCGTGATTGCCCATAAGGTGCCATGGGCTTTTGTCTTTGGCAACCACGACGAAGGGGTATGCATCAACTCGAGTCGCAGCGACACCAAGTCATCACCTGCGCCCTAGGCGTCGATGCCACGGCGCGCCATGTTCGACTACATGGCCCAGCAGCCGTACGCGGTGGCCCGTCGCGGCCCCGACGACGTCGGCGGAGTCGGCAACTACGCGCTCAACGTCACCGACGCGAGCAACGCCACCGCGTTTCGCCTGTACTTTCTCGATACGCGCAACACGGACGAGGCGATCGCGCCGGCGCAGGTGGCCTACCTCCGGGCGGCGGCACCGACAACGCCTCTGGCGCCGGCCGTCTTGTTTCATCACATTCCGCTGCCCGAGTACCAGCTCGGCTGGATGGACAAGCTTTTCCACAAGTACGTCGGGCACCGCGGCGAGACCATTTCCAGCGGCCCCCAAGCCGGTGTTCTCGATGCGCTCGTCAAGAGTACGTCGTCTCCATCACCCATCTTGCCGCGGGTTTGATGGGCGATTCTAGTGGGCGACGTCAAGGCAGCGTTCGCGGGCCACGACCACCTCAACAACTATTGCATTGAGCGCAAGGGCATCCAGCTCTGCTACGGCGGTGGCGTCGGCTATGGTACCTTTCCATCGACGAGAATCACGATGCGATCATGCATTTGCTAGGGCAAGCGTACGGTAACCCGTCGGTCGCCCGGGCTGCCCGCGTGATCCAGTGGCGCCGAGATGACCGCGCCGAAACCATTTCAACGTGGCACCACGTTGACGATATCGAGACGACGACGACGGCGCGCATGACCTTGTACGCATCGTTCTCCTCTGCTTCGTCGTCGATGGCACGTACCTTGATTGCATTGCCGCTGCTGCTCGTCGCCGTCGTCCTGTCGCTCTAATACTGTGTAATGTCGATGCGTATTTATTTCTGAAAATATCAATGTATCAATGTATCAAGCTGGACAAAGCCCATCGTCCATCTCGTGCACGTAGCTACGAGCCGTTTAGCCGTTTAGACAAGCTGTGCACAGGTATTCAAAAACGATACTGTATTCTTGTCAACTTGCATTTTCTTAGACGGTCGTCGTCCCATGGGCCATTTCCGAGAGCTGGCGCATCGCATTGTTGGCATGGGCGCCAAAGACCCACGTGTCGGGGATGTTCTCGGGGTGGAGCGCCGTCAACGACGCGAGCAAGATGCTGAGACGCGACGGCTCGTCGTCGTTCGCGTCGTCGGACGCCACTGTCGGCGGCAGCGGAGGCGCGTGCGGGTCCCGCGCGAGCGCCTTGGCGAACGCCGAGTCCCGGTAGAGCACGTGCTGCTTCTCTTGCCGGTGGACTTGGTTCCACGCCAAGAGCGCGACCTTTTCTTTCTGGCCCGGCGCGCTGCAGCTCGAGCTCGAGGTGCGAACGCGGCGGCGGGCCGCGGTCGCGGGGCACGCAAAGACGTTGACCAGCAGCGCCGACAAGTCGGGGAACTGCCCGGTTGCTTGGCCCCAAATGCAGTTGGGCAGCATCGTTTTGGTCATGGCAAACACATCGGTGCTTGCGTTGGTCCGGGCGCAGTAGAGGCAAAACTGCGAGAGCGCCTTCGCCTCGAGCGTCCGCGACTTGCGGCAGAGCAGCGTGAGGCCGCGCCGGCACTCGCTCAAGAGCTCGTCGTTCAGATCCAGCATCGACGCGCCAAACCGCTCGACGACGACCGCGCGCAGCTGGTCAAAGAAT